CTATACCCCCCTCCTTTCTCCCTTGCATTGCAAACCCCCAACCCCATATCCCCCCCCCTCCAAAGCCTCTGTGCGCTCACCAGCTTCCCTCCAAGCCGTTCAAGCAGAAGCCTGCGAGAGTCAGAGCTGCATTCTTGGAAGGGGCGGAGGAGGAAATGGCTCCCTCACCCTCCGGGGTCGTGGATGGGGCAGGCGCGGAGCCCTTCAGGACACGGAGGGACTTACCCCGGCCCCCCCCCCAATACCCTTGCAAGGAGCCCCCTTCCTTCGGCCGAGCCCCTCCGGCCGCCAGCAGCAGTGTCCTCCCCCTTGCTGACCATCTGGACCCGTCCCTCCCCTCAATGCATTTTTACCTCCCTGACTTTGCACCGAGAATCAAAAGTCCAGCATCTGGAAACGGGGGATCCGCAGAGTTTGACGTTGGAAAGGGGACATGGACAGGCGCCGGATGCCACTGGAAACGCGATCAGACGCCCGCCCTTGCCCCGCGGTTTCCGGAAACTAGTACCTCCGAGGTACTAGTTTTTAGCCGCGCGTTTTCAGCGGGAAGCCTCGGTTGAGCCACGGGAGCGCTACGCTTCCTAGATGTGCCAGTGAGATCGCGCCCAGAAAATCTGCCTATCTTCCGTCTCTCTAGCGTGGCTAATGTTCTGTGTGACCACAGCCATTATTTCAAAAAACACCCAGGATAATTCTTTACTGCATTTCTATCCTGGCTTTCTTCTGAGGACCTGAACACTGCTTACGCAGGGTACCCAGGAGTTCTCTCATCCAGGCACAGCAAAGCTGCTGCATTATGTGCCTTCAGAGTACAGCCTGGGACTCTTCTTCTTTGCAGACGGTAAATTTTACAGTAAAAACTAGCTCTCATTAAATTGCTTTGAAGAGATAGTATAGATAACAGTTAATTTCACTGCGACTGTCAGGACATATCCCAGACATTATGCTGATTCCTACAGAAAAGGAGGGAAAATTCTAAACTTCGTTCATTTATTATAAGCTGCAGTTTATTTATTTACCTTGTTTGGCATCTTTCCCTTGAGGTCCATAGCAAGCTTCAACATATGGTTATTGGTTTTCCCAGGAAACAGTATTTTTCCTGTGTAAAGTTCATACAATGTACAGCCTACAGACCACATATCTATACCGTAGTCATAGATTTTGCCTATAACTGAAGGAGGAAAACAGTTTCAGAGTTAAAATCACTTATCTAGCAGACACTGAAACTAAAGGTCACTCACATTTCTAGGGTAAGCTAGTAAAAAAAAGAGAAGAGGATAAATTGATTACAGTATCTAGGCCACTCAAGAAAGATGGGCCCTCTAGTTAACGCTAACCATAATTTATTCCCTTCTTGTCCTCAGGAATCTGCTGATGTTGCATGATACTGCACTTGCAGCCTTATGTGCTCTGAAAGATGGTGGGTTGGGAAGTAGAAAGGGATGGCGATTAGGCACAGCAGAAAGTATCTGGTGCAAAAGCATGTAGGTTATACTGCACCATTCACTAGATAGTATATCAAATGGACTTCTCTAACTGTCAATTTAATTACAAGAGGCCAAGTCTTGGTCATCCTATGATCACGCATACGGTCATTCCACACACAACTCCATCATTTGATAAACACAGGGGTGAGCTTATGCAAAGGGAAGGAAGCAATGGTACCAAAGAAGGAAAAGAAGTAGGGACAGCGGCAAGGGCTCAGGGGAAGGAGGCACCGGGGTGTGTGAGATGATGACTGCAAGAGGACAAGAGGAAGCAAGAGCGAAAGGGAAGCTGTGAATGGCACTCACCCTCCCACTCAGCTGTAGCCTGTCTTTACGTTCACATTTCCGTACACATTCCCACCATTTGGCGGGCATCTCACACTAGTTGACTAGATAATTATAAAAATCTAATTAAGCACCAGGAAATGTTATCAGGTATTAAAAAATTCCACCTTTACAATTAAACGTATCTTTATGCATGAATTAAACATTAATATAACTTGAGAACTTAAGAACATGAACAGGCGTTTCGAATTAACTTACTAATTTCAGGGGCACGATAAAATCGACTGACAAGGTATGGAGTGATGTCATTATCAGCCACATGTGAGGCCGATCCAAAGTCACATAGCTTTAGTATGGTTTTAGATTCATTCACCTAAAAAAATAAAGTTATTTTATTTCAAGTCATGAACTACAGCCTCAAGTGTTGGTTCTTAGTATGTATAACATCAACAACACGAAATATTAGTGCTGATTTTTTTCAAGAATTCCAACATATTTGAATGCATTAAGTAAATATTTAACCTTGATTATATTTTTGGGGAAAAAGAATATTGCTTTCAGAGGCAGATTATCTCTCAATACCAGCTGCTCCACAGAAAGAATATGGCTTTCATGACCTGCTTGTGGGCTTCAAAGGAACTCTTTGGGTACCCACAGTTGGAAACCATATGCTGGCCTAGAGGGACCACTTGGTCTGATGCACCGGGGATCTTTTTATGTTTTTAGCATCTTCTTCAAATAGAAATCTCAAAAATACTGGAGTGGATGCAACCATCCTCCAAGTAGCCTCCTTGTAGGAAGAGCCACTTAAGTTGGAGGAAGACTTCAAACTTGAACCAAAAGGAAAGGTGAGGTATAAATACTGTAATAAGCAAATGTATATATAAATGAACTTTGCTCAGAGGAGTAGCAGGAGAGGATAGTTCCAGCCCAATTTCTGGAAAAACTGAGGATTTGACAATCATATTTTTATAGGCATTTGTGTTCTACCTTTTTAATAGAATAAACAGTAATACTGACATTTACTGAGAATGAAAAATTCTAGACTTACTGTCTTAATCCAATTTATTTCCTGAATGGAGTTTTTTAAAAAAAATATATGTCTTGGAGTCCAGATATCCTGGCACAGTAAAGAACCCCTGCCTACTCATCCCCATTCCCTGTAATAGCAAAGTAACTGATGCCAACTAATGGCATCAAAATGGATCCAGCCACAATCATAAAGAAAGCCATAAGAAAGCTACTGAACTTACTTTTCTCAATAGCAGATGAAGGCAGTGGCATGAAATCTCTCTACACAATGCAACTGATCCACATGGTAACCCAGACTCTATATTGTAGTTGCATACTGGATCAGTCATCATACAGTAACTCTTTCTAGTAGCTCAAGACAACAGTCAATGGTTTAATTCAAACATGGTCTGGTGCTATATGAACAAGCCTTTAAGAAGTCTAGGAATCACTCACACAATCCCGCCTCCACTCACATACCATGAGAGGTTTTCAGGTTTTTAGTAAACTGTACTTTGCCAGGAACAAGCCAGTGTCTAGAATCCTAGTTTGCTTCGACATAAATGCAAGCTACAGTTTGCAGAACATCTGGAAAGGACCAGGTCACAATTCACAAGTGGAAGAGGAGGCAAGGAGATACCATGCAAGTGTGCCCCAAGCTTCTTAGATTAGCTGCCAAAAGCCTGGTTTGACATTACAGCCAAACCTTGCCAGCATACAGACCAGCCTTCAGTTAAGCAAATCCTCATTCTGCAGTTCTGAAAATCTAACTTTCTCTTGTGTTTCTGCATCTTTTGATATGTATTATTGTTTTCATATGCACTGATATTTGGGGGGGGGGGTGTAAAGCAGGGCAACTGGGGACATTTAGACACATTACCGTATATTTCTTCAAAAACTCTTTCAAAAATTAAGTATTACTTACCAAAATATTATCTGGTTTTATATCTGCATGCAAGATGTTACATCTTTTTAGAAGTTTTAAGGCTAGAAACAGCTGCTGACTGTAGGATCGTACAGCCTTTATATGGAGACCAACATCCTTTCCATACTTCTTCAGAACCTCTCGCAAATTCATACTTTTAAATGATGAAAACACACAAAAAAAGGAGACAAGAAGGTGGGGGAAACACAAACCAGGGGTCAACATATATTTAAAAAATACAGGCTTAGATTCTCTTAAGCAAAAAAGTTTCATGAGAGGAAGACCTCCTCATGCAGTGGAATCCTAGGAACCAGCACAATACACAGCACTACACATATGACTGTATGAGACATTATTCATTATTTGGGTCACTCAGAATCATGCCCTTTGAACAAGACTGACTTGGGAAAAAATGTATTTTAAACACATTTCAGCCCTCATATTGCTTATAATAGGCCACTGAAAAGAAAAGTTGACTATTGACAGAATCTGTATAAAAATCTAACAGTCTGCATTAAGTTTGCATTAAATCTAGTTTGCATTAAAAACTCTGTGATTGTTTTTCAGCAACTGCACACTTAGCACACACCCAAACAGGACTTCAACTAAAAGATGATTGAATGAACCATACATTTTAAGAATACAAAGCATCATTTCCAACACAGAGAATTTCCTCTGTAATGGCAAAAGAAATGTACAAACGTTCCCACTGAATGTCAGAATCTAACCTTTTCCTACCTGAATAACACATCTCTTGTTTTTAATCTTCTATTTCAGAACTTTAAACCCAAATACAGTAAACTATTATAATAACTTTTAATTCTTCCACTCCATGTGTACATAGAAGTTGATTGTGTGTGTGTAAAATTTAAGTGCTTAAAAAACTCCTGAATCTTCATGTGAACAAATATGTAATAGTACACATTGTGTATGGTGTATTTTTTATTTTTACTACAAATAATCTACTGTGTTGGCCACAATCTTGGCAATATTCTTCTTTAACAGACACTGGAATTATGTTCAGGTTTGAGAGGTAAGCCCACTTATTTTCTTCCAATATACTGTTTCATATTATAGAGACGAGCACTACTTATTCACAAATTTGTTTTATCAAATACAGAAGAACCATTTTTGAAACATTCTGCAAAAGGATAATTTGGGGGAAATAGGCAATACGATGAACAAGATAATTTTGATTATTTTAAAGAATGCTTTAAATCTACTTTTCAAGTCTCACCTGAGTGGTTCAAATACCAGACAGAGATGCTGCTTGTGATAAAAATGCCTGAACAATCGTAAACAGTGAAATTTGTCATCTGGGTCTGCATCGTTGAGTTTCTTCAAGAATTCTAATTCTTTTAGACCAGTTTTCTGCCTGAAAAGAGATTAACTTACTGTAAAAATTCAGCAGCATAAGAGCCTAAAACTATTACATTTTGGGGAAAAGGTAGCAATAACAGCAGTATTAAAGCTAAAAGGATCTACACAGCCTGAAGCTAACGACGAAAACTAGCAGGTGACACAATATTCTGAAGACAAGGTGAAGTAGGAGGAGGCAAAACTGTGGCAATTGAGAATACAGAGATAGAGAGTTATCTTTCCCTACAATTGGCTGGTATGAGCAGTCTCCAACTTGCAATGGTAACTGAAAGCAAGTACAGGACTGGAACTTGCACCATGTTTTGTTAAGACTAGATTCAAGTTCACTAGCTGCCCCTGAGGTATTACTATTAGCCTAGAAGCTGGCTCATTATAACTTATGACATTGAAAAAGCCTTCTTTACTTACATAAGCTCATTGTTCCTGATGATTTTGACAGCGACTTCTTGATTGGCTCTTGCCATATCTCTGGCCCTCACCACATTACTGAAAACTCCTTGCCCAGTGTAACCATATACATTGTAACGTTTATCTAGAACTTCACCAATGTTAACACCTAGAGTAGGAAAAGATTACTGTAGAAGAAATTTGCAGTGTACATAAAAGACAGTGAGAGCATTAATAATGCAAACCTTCCTATATAAAAATAACTATACTGAGCATGGGTCTCCAACACAGGTAACCCGGAAGGTACAGCAGCTCACTAGCTGGTAAAGAGTATCTTGTGCATCCCCTAGAAAAACCAGGGAAAGATCACAAAAAGATCTGCAGTGGGCTTTTAAAAACAGCTTTTATTTCACGTTGTGCTGCTTAGCTGGTAGCTTCATTTTTGATGGTCTTTATTTTGGTGTTCATGCCATACCTCAAGGACAAAAAAAATCTGGTAATACACGATGGGGATGGGGGAAGTAATCTGGGATACTTTCCTTATTCAGAAGTAGCTCTCATTAAAGAAAAGGTTGGTAACCCTGATAAAGGGTATAATTACCTACCAGAGAGTGAATGTCATACAACTGCCTACTGCACTAGGCACAGGTAGAAATTCAAATTCTATTCCACTATGTTCATGATCCTCAGTATGAGAGAGAGAGAGACTATAGGGAAATACACTAAATTTGCATGTTCCACCACCTCTGCCACTAAACAAGTCTTTTTATCTAATTGTATTTTTAAAAAAAATATTTTATTTTGCGTTTAATTCCCATAATACAAGTTTATCCCAAACATCATAACAAAGGAAGGAATAACATTTAAACTAATTTATCAAAGATAACATACAATATGCCCAAATTGGATTAATTTCTAATCTAATTCTGAACACTGCTCCAGAGCATGGAACAAAAAATCCACACAAATGTACAGACAGTGGCAAATGGGAATTTATGAGTAATGTAAGCACACTGGATCCATCTGGCACTTTATGTTATGCTATATTGGACTGACTTTTATTGTATGTTTTAATTTTAAAATTGTTATATTTACATATGTTGTAAACCACCCTGAGCCCTGCTTGGGGGGGAGGGCGGGATAAAAAACTGAATTAAACAAACAAACCTGGGAGAACCTCAAGATTTGTGGACAATTTAAATTCAACAAGAACCAGGAAATAAAAAAATTATAAGATTGGCAGAGTTAGGAAGGAAGGAGAGATATGGATTTTTCTCTCTCCCATGACTCCCCACAGGTCTACCCTTTACAGCAGTCATAGTTGGTGCTCCAAACCTGGAAACAAAACACTTTGCAGTCACCCTACAGGGTTAGAGAGGGTGCCTCCTGGGGAGATCCCAGCTACAAGGTTCTTTTAGAATCTAATTCTTTGGGTTTCAGTTGTATGGAGCATGCTGATGTTTATTTCCATTAAAGACCGGAAGAACGTAAGCTACACAGGAGTCAATTTAAGCTAATAGAAGAATGATATCATCATATGTTATTTCAGTTGTAACTGTTGCTGGTTAATTGACAGCTATACTGTTTTAATGCAATTCCATAGACTTATGCTGTGCTGCAAACTGCTCTGAAAGCCCTACATAATTATTACATGGTCAGAACAAAGTTCAAATTTAAAAATTCTATCACACATTTGCTTTAGGAAATGCCATGATATTAGCATTTTTGTTGGTCTTTATTAGTTTAGTTTAGCAACTGTACTTCAGCAGATAACGTAAAGGAATTGTAGTAGCCACACTCACGGTAATATCCTTCTGCATCAGTCCAGTTATCCCTGAGATTAGGGTTTTCTTTGAAGTCTTTTCCAATGCCAGCAGCCCGAAGGCGTGCACTCTGAAAGAAATAATTTAGTCTTATCCTTCATGTTCAACATAGTTAAATAACTGTTTTTGCTTAATGTTTGGCTGTGGGACTAAAGATCTACAACACAAAATAAAAAGTATCAATTCCACTGTATGTCTAAATACTAATTAAGAAAATCTCCAGTGGTTGCCAAAGCATGTTTTACTGATCAGTGCACTTTAATTCCATTCACAAATGGGGCTTTATCTATGACAAGAAAGAAGATACAACAGGTGTATGTGCGTGTGTGTGAGGAGTCCTGTGCCACAAAGGGAAAAAATGTTTTCAGTCTATTTCTGACAACATACAAAATGCAGATCTCAGACAGTCACAATTTGAATACTTAGGTCAACTGAATACTATTCAGTAATGCTGAAATAACAATTCTTAAGATGGTCAAAAATTACATCCTATAATGGTCAACGTTTCAGAAATCTGTTTAATATCTAACAAATCTCTTATGGCTGCGGTCACACGCAACATTAGCCACGCAAGAGATACGGAAGACAGGCGGAGTTTCCGGGCGCGATCTCACCAGCACATCTGGGGAGCGTAGTGCTTCTGTGGCACAACCGAGGCTTCCTTCCGAAACCGCGCAGCAAAAAACTAGTACCTCGGAGGTACTAGTTTCCGGAAACTGCGGGGCAAGGGCGGGCGTCTGATCGCGTTTCCGGTGGCATCCGGCGCCCGCCCATGTCCCCTTGTGAACAAGGTTTTTTTTTCCCAAAGTCCCCGTGGTTGCGCACATGCACCCAACGGAGCATGCGCATTCGTAGTGAACACAAAAAAAGAAAACTAGTTCGCCGCGCTGCACGCTTCTTCGTTGCGCGCAGGCATGTGTTGTGATCGAAGCCTCTCCGTAACCACAGAAGCTCCACGGTACCTTCACAGAACCTCCTCAGGAGGTATGATCGCTTTACTGCGTGTTAGTTTGCCCCAGGGCAAACAGCCACGCTCCAAAACCGGCCGCCCCCCCCCCCCCCCCGCAGTTTCCTGCCCGTGTGACCGGGGCCAATATATGGTTCTTGCTACTTGGTAATATATAGTTCTTGCTACTTTTTTTTGCAAAAATAAACATTTGATGACTATTATTACAATAATGTATTTTTGTGAAACTACCTACATCAAAATATGCAGCAAACATATCGTCAGATTCTGTGAACATGTCAGGTGCTGTGATTTTCTTCTGAGATGAACCTTTAAAAAAAGTTTACATTATTAATACTTAAAAACAGAATAAATTGAGAACCAAAATGGGTAGTGCAACACATTTCCAGAGACAGAACTTTTTAAAAATCATTTTTGCCTTTCGATATCACCAACTCTGGCTGCAATCCAACCCACAACTATGCCTGTTTAAGATCATAAGATATTATGGAACAAGCATCTGCAACAGAGGTTAACAGAAATAGAAATTTCATTTAGTTTATTATTCCATAGTATTGGGGCTTGCTGCTAATACTAAGCACTTGTGTTCTGCCTACCTTTCACACTTTTTTAGGGATCCTGTAACATTAGCATGTATCAGCCGCCCTGAGCCCGCATTGCGGGGAGGGCGGGGTATAAATCGAATAAAATAAATAAATAAATAAATATCAAGCTTTGCAATGCTACACAGATACACTGCTAGATACACTGCATTGTAAAACCCTCAAATACAAACCTTGAGATAAGAACATAAACCCTCACTACCCTAAAGAGTAATGTTTCTGAAATATGACAGCTTGGACAGTCAGCTTGACAGTGATATGCTCTTATTTTCTGGTTACTCAGCAGGCTAAGTCCAAAAGTGGCCTGATATAATTTAACTAGGCTTCTACAAATGACATAGGAGCTGCGATGGCTCAAGTGGTTAAGATGCTGAACTGCAGGCTGTGGAAGGTCAATAGTTCAGCAGTTCGAGACCCGGGTGCCGCAAGACGGAGTGAGCTCCCGTCTCTAGTTCCAGCTCCTGCCAACCTAGCAGTTCGAAAGCAAGAAATTGCAAGTAGATAAATAGGGACCACGTCGGTGGGAAGGTAACAGCGTTCCGTGCGCCTTGGTTGTTAGTCATGCCGGCCACATGACCACAGAAACGTCTTCGGACAGCGCTGGCTCTTTGGCTTTGAAACAGAGATGAGCACCGCAACCCTAGAGTCGGATTTGACTGGCTTTCGAGCAAGGGAACCTTTACCTTTACAAATGACAAATAATTTACGCAATCTTCCACAGTGCTTTCAAATACAAGGGCATGTACTATTTAATCACAGCTGCCGTGTTCTTGTCACACATTTGACCTTTAGTCATATCACTCTTTCAGAATCTCACAGCAATGCTGCACATCCTTACCATTGTTTTGCTCAACAGACATGAGGTTGTGCTTGGCCTTCACCGAGGCCTCAAAAGTGTCCACATTTTCCCGTTCGTACTCTTTAACATCTGCAGCCACCCGTTCCAGAATGTCATCAGGTGAATTTGAGCGACTGCGAGTACTGCTCTGAGGACTGCTTGGTTCTGACGGCACAGACATGTTACTGTCATCAGCCAAGTACTTGTATTTCTGGGGAAAGAAAAAAACACACACTTTGTCATGTCTTTGACATAAGACAAAAATGAGATTCTCTAAGCTCTAAAATACTACATATCCAATTGCTGCCTAACAAGTCAATTCTTAGAATGCTGGCAGAGGGTTACTGCTGAATCCACTTGCATTAGTCAATGCCAGACTGTAAGCATGCTGCAGGCTGTAATGGTCCAGCATTTAGTATGTGAAGTCTTTCAATGTATCCATTGTCTGCTCCCCTTCACTTTGTAGTTCCTGTCCACACACAGGAATCCATGGTTGGAAGTTTGTGGTGGTAATAAAATGTCAGAAAGTTGAACGATAGCTTCTGGAATCATATGGCTATGCTTTATGGGAACTTTCTGACCCATGTGCTACTTGCTATTCCAGTTCTTTCCTTAAAACAGTACACAGAGATGGGACGAGCAGCCCGATTAACATGGGCAGGACTGTCTTAGCCATCATCCACTCTCCTGTCCCCATTCCCCCTGCACTTTTTGCCCTGTATGACTGGCACTGAGCTCGACACTGATTACTCTTGTCACAGACCACAATGCTTTAATCAGTCATACCTACCCAAATTTCACTGATTTCACATAATCAGGTTTAAAAATGCAGCCTACAAGAGTAACTATTTTAGAACCCATACAGCCGAGGCAAAAGAAAACAATTATCTATCATCTGATACATCAACAGTGGGGCAGAAGGTCAATCATGAACCGACTTTGCAAGCAATTAAAAGCAGTTCTCTGCACCTCTTCCAGTGCTGCTGTAATCACTCTCTTTAAAGCTACCACAGCAGTTTCTGTCCTCTTTTATGAGAAAGGGTTATGCACCTTTGTGCTGGATGCGGAAGTGACAGCACCAGCACCCTTTTCCCATCTTCCTCTCCCTCCTCCACACACACACCCTTGCTCTAGACTGGAAAGGTACATGCTATTGATCTTTTTTCTCTGCCTCAAAGCTTCTGATAGTTTCTTCCAGAAAAAACATACAGATGACTGTGTAGTATTCCCCTGATAGGCAAGCTACAATTCGGGGTGCTAGTGGTAGCCTGCTTTGGAAAAACAGCAGAGGAAGTTTCCCTACCTGAGCACTATAGACAGGCTCTGACTTGCTCTAATTTTTGCACAAGTTGCCAGTTTGTGACTAGCTCCACCCACTACACGGCCATTGCAGAATTGGCTGCACCCACCAAGCCACCACTATGACTGAGGCTCTTGAAAAAACTAAGTAATTCCCAGAAACATGAAATCTGCCCTGCCCCGTTACACAGTTCTTAAAGAATTTAGTTTGTACATACTTTGAAGATAAACAAAGCTACATTCTCCACAGCCACTTACATGGGTACTACTACTAACAACTATTTAAAAAGCACAAAAATATCAACCCATGCAATATTTTTATTAAGATATTTGTAATTTCAAAAGTATTTGACAGGTTTTGACAGTATAAATGGACAGTATAACATGGATGATGATGTTTTTACTATATTTACTGGTGGGGGGAAGAAATCAGACTTCATGAGTGAAGGAGTAAGCACCATCATATACCTGCACAATTGCTTGCCTCTGTAACCTTCTCTGTTCTATAAGAGCTTCTTCATCTTCTTCTTCAACATCAAAGTCTTCAAGGCTATTAAAAATGTAATGTTTGACATGTTCTACTTTAGTCAAGGAATTTATATACAATACTCACTTTTTTTTGCCCCAACATGCCATTGCAGCATCCCACACACTTATTTGTGAAGAAATTAAATTAGTAATCCTTTGTGAATTTTTTCATCAAGTCTCTACATGACAAATTTTAATCTTTCCTAAAATCTGTAAATTGTTTTGTTTTATACTGAAGGGAAATATTAGTCTGAGTTTGCTTAGCTGAACAGGCAAAGTGTAGACACTGAGCCAACTTTTGAGGAATCTGTATGCTAAAGGAAAGCATTGCTCTCCTTTAAAAGCAGCTTAGTATTTAGTTGCAGAGAACAGTCTGAAAAGTGTCAAATGCATCCGCCAAAGGCACAAAGCAAATGAAAAGAACATGAAACTTATGTTTCTGAACCTAATGATTTTAAATATTCATCTCAAGACAGATTCATCTGGGTTAATACAAAGGTTCACCAACAGTTGGCTGAAACCATTAGCTAGCAAGAATGACTTGTCGTATTTCATTAAAATGTCTGGAATTGTTTTCCTAACACAGCATAAGAGATACATATCTTAGTGAGGTGAAACTGTGATTAAAGTCTACCAATTAACACCCATAATCCTAAACAAATTTATTTGGAAATACAGTAAGTGTTATCCAGTGGTTCGTTATTCAGACTACTCTGTTAGCCAGTATCTTACAGTAAGAATCTGGTGGCAGAAGGACCCCTCCTCTGACACTTACCAGTTGCTGTGTGGAGAAGACTGACCCATTGTTTGAGTGGCTCACCATGGCCGCTTTGCTCCATCGCCCAGTTCTGAAACTCCCACAGAAGGCAAGTGACAAGCTGGGCCTTTTGTAGGCACCCTGTTTGCAGTGAGGGTGGCTGCAAACTCAGCACTGGTGGACAACGATGAGACCGGCTAAGCAGTAGCCAAGCCAGCCCAAGATGAACAGGAAAACAGAACACCATCATCACCCCTGCCCAGCATTAGCACTTGAAAGGAGAGAAAGTCCACTGCTCACTGCAGCCAATGTGATCCCTTGCTTGGTGCTGAAGCTTGCACTGAGGGCAGCCGCAAATTTGGTGCCCTTTAGGTTTAGCATAGGAAAAGGAGTACGACAAGGATGTATATTGTCACCTTACTTATTTAATATATATGCAGAGTACATCATGCGAAATGCTGGCCTGGATGAATCACAAGCGGGAATTAAGATTGCTGGGGAAAAGATCAACAATCTCAGATATGCAGATGATACCACTCTAATGGCAGAAAGTGAAGAGGACCCTAAGAGCCTCTTACTCAGGGTAAAAGAGGAGAGCGCAAAAGAAGAGGGCTTGAAACTCAACATCAAAAAAACTAAGATCATGGCATCCGGCCCCATCACTCCTTGGCAAACAGAAGGGGAAGTCGTGGAAGTAGTGACAGACTTCACGTTCCTGGGATCCCAGATCACCGCAGACTATGACAGCAGCCATGAAATTAAAAGACGCCTGCTCCTTGGGAGGAAAGCGATGGCGAACCTAAACAGCATGATAAAAAGTAGAGACATCACCCCACCAACAAAAGTCTGCATAATCAAAGCAATGGTATTCCCAGTAGTCATGTATGGCTGCGAGAGTTGGACTATAAGGAAGGCCGAGCGCCGAAGAATAGATTCTTTTGAACTATGGAGCTGGAGAAGACTCTTGAGAGTCCCTTGGACTGCAAGAAGATCAGATCAGTCAATCCTAAAAGCAATCAACCCTGACTGTTTCCTGGAAGGCCAGATAATGAAACTGAAGCTCAAATACTTTGGCCACCAAATGAGAAGGGAGCACTCACTGTAGAAGACCCTGATGCTGGGAAAGATTGAAGGTCAAAGAAGATGGGGACGGCAAAGGATGAGATGGTTAGACAGCGTCATAGATGCAACGAACATGAAATTGAGCCAACTTCAGAGGATGGCGGAAGACAGGAAGGCCTGGTGTGATCTGGTCCATGGGGTCGCGAAGAGTTGGACTCGACTGTGCGACTGAACAACAACAACAAGGACAACAAAGACAACAGGACTGGCAGCAGCCTAGCCAGCCCTAGCACAGCACTCTAGGCAATATCTCTGTCAACGTCTTCAGCCTAAAGGAGGAACTAAGCAAAGCCCAGCAAGCTGTGCCGCCTCACACAATACACTATCAACAAGCAAAGGACAGAAAATGTGTTATGTTGACAGTAACCTAGAAACTGGACATAATTAGGTGCCTAGAGATATATACAGGAGAAAGATGTAGCTGACTGATGCATAAGTCTGGTTGTCAGCTATCTATAAGATTAAGCTTTATGGCCCAGCGCTATATTAAGCTCTATCACCCAGCACACCTGATTAACCAGTAACCCCTGTTCCCCAAGATAACCAAGCTTTTACTGTATTTCAGAGATTTCAGTTACATTGACTTCTAAATCAGTGTTAGGAACATGACCAAAAATTCCTAGTTTAAAGAAATAAGCCAGCAGGGGCCAGGATCCAAAACAAAAGTTCCATGAACACACAAACACTTGAAAGTTCCAAGAACCCACAAATCACAGCCCCTTGAAGAGACCCTGTCAAGGAAACTGAGTTTGTTAGAAGGGTAAGAGAACTGTTTTCTCCTCCTTCTAGGATTCCTGCTAAAAGCTGGATCTTCAAGGGAAGAAGAAAAAGAAGAGAAGCTTTTTATACCCCACTTTTCTCTACCTTAAGGAGTCTCAAAGCAGTTTACAATCACATTCGCTTCCCCACAACAGGCACCTTGTGGGGTAGGTGGGGCTGAGAGAGTTCTGAGAGAACTGTGACGAGCCCAAGGCTCCCCTCAACAGGCTTCATGTGGAGAAGGAGTGGGGAATCAAACCTGGTTCTTCAGATTAAACTCTGCTGCACTTAACCACTACACCACACTGGCTCTCAGTGTCCTCTATGGTTGCTACTGCAAATGAAACTGACATCTTAACTCTGGGAACTTCTTGTTTGCTAACATCTGGTTAGTTTGTTTTTTAATCACCTGCATAGATTACGGTTAGTTTGTTTTTTAATCACCTGCATAGATTACTGTTAATTTGTGGAGGGACAGCCACCAATTTGGGATTTTTTTCTTAAAATCTGGATTTTTCCCTATAAACATTTGGGTTTCCACGGATTCCTAGAACTTGATACTTTGGATAGATTTTGCTATCTGTTTAGGGGCCAACACTTCAAAATTAGACACAAATATTAACACTTGCCTCCCATATGAAAATACTGCTGGGTTTGAGAAATAATACTTCAATTAATTACATTTATCTGCTTATAGGACTGTACTTTTTTGAGACATCACCAAGTTAAATATTTAAATTCAAATCATACTTTTCATCTGATGAGGATTCTTGCTCAACTTTCATTCCTTCAGAAAGACTTCCTTTAAATTTATCTTCTATTTTGCTCCTGCTCCTCCGTCTATGGCCACCCCGTGACCTGGATCTTCTCCTAAGACGAGATCTACTACGTCGACCTCTATCTCTGCAAAGTGTGAAACAATATTTGAAAAGAATATTTGAAAATATTATCTTTTATATGAACTGACATACTGTATGATGGTATTATATTAAAATATTTATCTGTTCCATCTTGGGATAAAAAATGTTCAGCATAGGGCTTACCTGTCGCTAGCATAACAGCTATTATATAAAACACTAAAGAGCAACAAGACAGAACCCCTATAATGGATGCTAATATGCAACAGCCAACAGAAGCCTAAGATAAGGAACTGGCCTAATGCAGTGGTCTTCAACACATGGGTTAGGACCCTCAAGTGGGTCCACCTGTAGGACTGCAAGTCTCTATAGGGCTGTCTTTTCTGTTTTATGGCAGGGTAGACTCCTAACATGGAGCTGCAGTGGCTCAAGTGGTTAAGACGCTGAACTGCAGGCTGTGGAAGGTCAGTAGTTCAGCAGTTCAAGACCCGGGTGCCACATGATGGAGTGCGCTCCCGTCTCTAGTTCCAGCTCCTGCCAACCTAGCAGTTCGAAAGCAAGAAATTGCAAGTAGATAAATAGGTACCACTTCAGTGGGAAGGTAACAGCGTTCCGTGCGCCTTGGTGTTTAGTCAGGCCGGCCACATGACCACGGAAACGTCTTCGGACAGCGCTGGCTCTTCGGCTTGGAAACGGAGATGAGCACCGCAACCCTAGAGTTGGATTCGACTGGCTTTTGAGCAAGGGAACCTTTACCTTTACCTTTTTAGACTCCTAACACAATCACAGATAAAGCAAGGGAACCCAGCTCCCTCTCTGCCCTTTCACACACAGAGAAGAACAACAGAACAGTGAGAAAAGGTCACTCAACAGCAAAGAGAATTCACTTTTAGCACAAGCAAGTTCAGAGACCATCCTCACTTCCCCACAAAAGCTCCCCCTTTGTATGGCCATTCCTTGCCCCCACCGGTCAGTTGTCCAATACTCCATGTGTCCTTCCAGGACAGAATCTCCCATAACTCTGGCTCCTGCTCTTCCTGTCACATGAATGTGTGTGTAAAGTGCTGTCAAGTTGCAGCTGATTTATAGCAACCCCAAAGGGGTTTCAAAGCAATTGAGAAGCAGAGGTGGCTTGCCAATGCCTTCCTCTGCAGGGTCTTCTTTGGTGGTCCCCTACCCAAGCACCAACCTTGCTTAGCTTCCAAGACCTGACGAGACTGGGCTATACTACACCATTCCACATCCCCTCCTGTCATGTTTGCATCTCAGTAAGTCTCATGCTATTGTCTGGGTGCTAAAGATGGGCCTTGAAAATTTGAAGGCTGTGTAATTTTGAGGAAAAGGAAAAACTGCTTAAAAATATTATTAGATGATATACAATGTTTATTTGTACCTACACAATCTTGTACAATGAGGATAGTACACATACCTCCTCCGAGGAGATCTACTACGCCTTCTTGGAGACCGGCTACGGCGAAGAGGTGAACGAGATCTTCGCCGAATGGGAGATCTGGATCTTCTTCTGGATGGGGACCACCTAGGTGGGCTGGCATCTTTTGATCTCTCACGTCTAGAGAGGATATCATCTCTAGTTCGCGTTCTTGAGATTGGGAGAAGAAATATGGTAAAAATAAACAATATACAGAAAGTTCCCTTGAAACCTTACCCAGAAACTAAAAAAAGAAATGTATCACATGGATTTACCCAATTAAAACATATTACAGAACTGCTAGTCTTTGCTTCCTAGTTACAGAAATATGTGCCTTGTTTATTAATACCTTAGCAGGTACAGAAATATAACTGCAAGACTTCACTTTTAATGGAGCCTAAGATGTCTATTTTAATTGACTTCTCTAATAGTTCTTTTTAAAGAGAATTTCGTTCTTGAGAATACTAATTACATTTTTTCTTAATAGACATCTGAGCTTCTCAACCACAACTCGGGTGGAATTAGGGGAGCAGCGGTCCCGGAGGCACCTGCTTGAATGTGGTGTGCCTCAGGGGGCAGTTCTCTCCCCGATGCTATTTAATATCTACATGCGCCCCCTCACCCAGATTGTCCGGAGGCATGGGCTTGGGTGTCATCAATATGCTGATGACACCCAGCTCGGACTCCAATTCAGAAGATCTGCACCGGGCGTTGCAGGCCGTATCTGGATGGCTCAGGCTGAGTCGGTTGAAGCTGAACCTGGCGAAGACGGAGATCCTGTGCCTGGGGCGGAACGGGATGGGATTGGGGCTCCCGCTCCCGGCCTTCGACGGGGCGCCTTTGGTGCCAGCTTTGGAGGTTAGGAGCTTGGGAGTGCTCCTGGACTCCACCTTAACGATGGAGGCCCAGGTGGCAGCCACTGCCAAAGCAGCTTTCTACCATCTTCGGCTGGTCCGGCAGTTGGTCCCCTTTCTCAGCCGCGAAGACCTAGCCACAGTGATCAATGCGACGGTCACCTCGAGGCTAGACTACTGCAACGCTCTCTACATGGGGCTGCCTTTGTCGCTAATTCGGAGGCTGCAGCTAGTGCAGAATGCGGCGGCCAGGCTGGTTGCTGGTGTCTCAAAATGGGACCACATCCAGCCTGTGCTCAAAGCGCTGCACTGGCTGCCTATAGCATACCGGATCCGCTTCGAAGTGCTGGTGCTTACCTTTAAAGCCCTACATGGCCAGGGTCCGGCATACCTGAGGGACCGCCTTTCCCCACACAGGTCCCAAAGAGCACTTCGGCTTGCTGCCACAAGGGGCAGGTCCTTTTCGGTGGCGGCTCCTATCTGGTGGAATGAGCTCCCGGAGGAGATCAGGGCCCTGCGGGACCTGTTACAGTTCCGCAGGGCCTGCAAGACGGAGCTCTTCCGCCAGGCTTTCGAATAGGAGCCGCCGCCGCCACCCTTACCATCATAAGGGCCTGTATTGCAGCACCGCCGGGGAGTGGCCAATGAACATCAGGGCGGCCACAGCAGCCTCCCTCTGGATTTAAGGGCATGTGCAATAAAGAGAGGGGATGCTAGTCACGCGGGATCCTTGAGCGTAGCCCATTGTACCTAATTGTTTTAATTGTTTTATTGTGTTTTTATCGCACTGTGTGCCATACTGTTGTAAGCCGCCCTGAGACCGCACGCGGGGTATAAATAAAATTAAATAAATAAATAAACTTGGAAGCCTAAAAATTCTAAAATAATATATCATCATATTTTAAAATTGGAAGAAAGCAATCTGTATAAGGTATGTAGCTTACATATTTTTAACTGCAAAAATTGTTTCTTTTAAAAAAGAAATTCAAGTTTTTTTCAGCATAGATGTAAAAACAGAACCATACAATGCCTCCCAAAGCAGTTATACCCTTCTAAGCTGACTGCAGTGGACTCAGTAGATGCAACCCTTCTTTGAATTTTATCCTCTTTGCAGGACAACCCCTATAGCACTCCTTTCAACAGCAAGTGACCACTTCCCCCAGCAAACTGCTTCTAAGAATTTCTTGTTGCTGAAGATAGGTTTGTGTACGTGTGGGGTGCTGATAAGAGAATAGAAACCATTTCTTCACTTCTAGGTCTTATTTTTCCTTGTCTAGGAGAAGCCCTGAGGTTTTGTTTTTGTTCTGTTACACTGCTGTATCTAAGAGAAAGACAATATGCATGTTTGTTTGGGCATGCATGCTTCTGAATGTAAGAGGAATGCACACTTCACTGCGATGGAACAAAAAGTATGGCACACAGGCATACAATTTAGCATCTCAGTAAAAAGCTTGAAAAATTAGTGTAATATAAAAGATTTTCCCAGTAATTAAAACACAACATCAGAATTAAGTATAATGCCCTGAACAAATAAAATTCACTTTTCATGCACGACATTCTATGCAAAATGTTTTGACAGCAATGCAAATCTTTCACAACGATCTCATTATTTTTACTACCATCAGCAGTCCCCCAAAGTTATCAGCGAACCTTGCCATACTTGCTGATGTTGGTAATCTGTAGCACATAGAAGGCCTTGAAAGAACTTAATCTCAAAGACAGCAACGACAGCAGCTTGTTTTTGATATGCTGTAGTAATAAACTTAATCTCTGAATTAAACACAGTGCTCCAATCTATAACTGTTGATTAAAGATGGCTTCAAAATTCATACACATTTTACATCTCTACTGCTGCTAAGCAAATAAAATGTATAAAATATAAAGTGCCTTACAAGAAATTCTTGTTTCATTTGTATTCCTCCTAGCTAATACAGTTACTCATACTATGCAAACTCAAAAGCATACAACACAAGATAACAAAAGTGAAGTTATGGAGGAAAGTCCACTTTCTCAAGCCCAGTTACTAGTCTTCCTTCTCAGGAGTTCACTACCATGTAGTTTAGGATAGCTGCAATCCAAAGACATCTACAAGTATTCTGCAGTAACCATTGTATAGAACAGCAATAGAGAACTGCCTGTGCTCTAAGTAAAATGAGGAGGTGGGGGGGGGGGGAATCAGAAAACAGAACCAAGTTCTGATTTATAAGAATGGCACTCTGAGGATCAAACAGTGTATAAACCCATAAGAACTGTCATCGTGGGTCAGAGAACACAATACATTTTGCTCAGCATCTGAACTGTTATATCAGGCTTATATGACAACAAAGTTAAGAAAGAGCTGCTATTTGCCATTTTTTAAATCTGTCTTTCCCGCAGCATTTCATATTGGCAGTCAGTAGGTAAATGGTCTCTTAACATAATGTTTGCACTTCAGGCTATTGTGATTGGTAACCTGATAGAACTGTCTATAATAATAATAATATTGATTGATTAGCAAAAAAGCCATAGCAACTGTACAGGATAAAATAAAATAAATTTAAAAAAACTACAACACACACTTAAAAGGTCGACAGTTATCAGCAGTAAACTAATTAAACTCAGGGAGATTTGTTTTCTTAATCACCGCAGCTAGAAAGGAAGCCACTATAGCCGTGGTTTGATTGTCAGGGAAGTTATCAGACAATAGCACTGAAAGAACTGTCTATATGTAAGTTCATCTTTAAAAAGCCGTGTACGCCTCTTGACATCCAAGTGTTCAGAAACAAATATCATTAGCCTAACAGGGGCTGCGGTCACACGTAACAGAAGCCACACAAGTGAGACGGAAAACAGGCGGAGGTTCTGGGCGCGATCTCACCAGCACATCTGGGAAGCGTAGCACTCCCGTGGCTCAACCGAGGCTTCCAGCCGAAACTGCGTGGCAAAAAACGAGTACCTTGGAGGTACTAGTTTCCGGAAACTGCGGGGCAAGGGCGGGCGTCTGATCGCGTTTCCAGTGGCATCCGGCGCCCGCCCATGTCCCCTTGCAAATAAGGTGGGTTTTTTTGTCCAAGTCTCTGTGGATGCGCATGCGCACCCAACGGAGCATGCGCATTTGTCATGTACACAAAAATAAAAAACAGTTTGCCGCGGCGCGCGCTTCTTCGTTGCGCGCCGGCTTGTCCTGTGATCGGCACCTCTCCCTTGCCATGGAACCTCCACAGGACCTCCACAGGAGGTCTGATCGCATAACTGCGCAGTAGTTTGCCCCAGGGCAAACAGCCACGCTTCTCCCCCGGAGTTTCCTGCCCGTGTGACCGGGGCCTAAGATGAAGATAAGGGTTAAACAAAAGCTTCACAAAAAACCTGTCAACAAAAGCCAAGGGGGGGGGAACCCTAACTCTAAGACTAAAAAAAAGACTTGATGTGCACAAAGGCCTCCCACATGCTGGATTATTACACCAGTTCAAGGCAATTACAATTCGGAAAATTGGCAATGCAAAAGCAGCAATCTTTTACTCCTCTGATTCTTTGTCACTTTCAGATACCCATATTTTAAATGTTTCTTAAGGGTTTTTAAAATGCAGGTTATCTTTGGGGGCAGTGGGATCATTTTGGGGTTCATCTTGTTTTTAAATTGGAGTGCTTCCAAATATGATTTTCAAGGTGCCTTGCACCATGATGCAAGGTACAATATAAATATTTAAATAATAAAATAAGTAAAAAAAATTAATAAAAATTACCTTGGTGAGGAAAACCGCCTCCTTTCTGATTCTCTTCTTTTTCTCTCTGCTGACCTGCTCTTTGCTCTCCTACCAGGAGACCTGTTTCGAGATGGTGATTTACTCTGCTTAGATCGGCGATCATTAACAAGAGGTGATCTACTGCGTCTTAGTTTATCACGCAGTTTTGGAGATAAACTTCTTCCTTTAGGGCTGCGGCCTGGTCTTCTACTAGGAGACCTGTTTTCTTTCCCTGATGAAGCATCTTTAGAAGGAGACTTAGTAGGTTTCTTTTCTTTATCAGTCTCTGGTCTCCTGGATTTTCGCTCTTTGGACCTTGATCGTCTGTCTTTGGATTTGCTTCTTTGTTCTAATGGAGATTTGGATTTTTTGCCACGATCTCTACTTTTACTTTCACTAACAATTGGAGATTTTTTACGATCTCTTGATTTAGTCTTCTCCTCTACTTTAGTCTTCTCCTCAGGAGGAGATCTGGACTTCCTATTTTTCTCTTGAGAGTGCCTTTTAAGGGTTGGAGATTTTGACTTTCCTACTTGATCTTGTAACTTGGTTTTTTTAGATGGGCTTTTGGATTTTCTTCTTTCTTTTGATTTACTTCTAGTTGTTTTCTCTTTTACTCCATCAACTCCTGACTTGCTTTTCTTTTTATCAGATCTGTGTCGAGTCCGTTCTTTTGATTTACTTCTACTCCGTTTCTTTGAAATAGCTTTATTATCTGCAACCTCCTGTTTTCCCTTAATATTTGATGATTTAGTTGTAGATCTAGTTCCATTTCTAACCTTGTCATTGATCTCTCCCTCTTCTTCAGAACCTGACTCATAACCCTGCAATATTAATCCCATCCCAGACTGAACTTTTCCTTCCATTAATTCATTTTCAAGTTCAGCCTTTAGCAGTGCTCTTTGTTTTTCCAAGTCTTCTAGAGGGGCTAAGAAATCAATTTTAGTTCTTTTTGCTGGCCCATCTTCTCTATCAGAGGCATCAATAACCTCCTTTCGTTTATGTTTCTTATGCTTGTGTCTATGTTTATGCTTTTTGTCCTTATCATCTTCTGAAGAATGTTTGTGTTTCTTATGCTTTCCTCTATGTTTATGTTTCTTTTTTTTATGTCTGCTGTGCTTATTTTGAGGTTGGTCAACTTCTGAAATATCCCCATTTTCTTCATTTGCACTTCTCTCTGAAATATCAGCATCTTCAATTCTGTAAACATGTTAAAAGGATATGTTAGTATAAGATACAATATTTTAAAGTAATAGCACAGTAATTGTCTCAGACTCTCCATTTATGACTTGTTTTTAAAATGTGATGTGGTTTTAATTGTAAGCTACCTTGAGCAGGACTCTGAAGAGATGTATGAAGACTAAATATAACCGTTGACTGTTATAGACAACCTGAAATTACTAAAATTCAGAGTTGCTCATACACTAGCTTAAATACTTAAAGATATGTATAGTTCTAGGCATGAAACATTAACGTTCTATAGAAGCAGCACTTATCTCAGGATGACTTAATGCAAAGAATACATGAGTAATAAAGTTCATTATAAAATTTACTACAAAGTATATTATATTACATCACAGCACTGCAGAAAGGGCCTCTAAAATTCCTCAGAAAATTATTATGAGCACTGTAAATATGAATATAAATAAATTCTACGTGTGAAAGCCAGCTTCCATCCATGTATTGCTTAGTTAATCAGGAATCACTAGCATAAATCTGGTACGTATTTGAATTAGAGCCGGCAACAGCCTGGAGAAAAAAATGCCCTGCTCCTTTAACAGAGGCTTAACAGGATGTGATTTTCCAGGTTTATTTCTCTCTGTTTCATGAATAGCTTCAAGCTACCCATTTTCACACAGTAAGTGTCTGTTAGAGGGACAGGAGATTTTTCTCCAAGCCAACTGGCAAGCATAATTTCAATGTATATTCAACAGTGGTTGCATTCTATCTACTCATCACTATGTTATGCAGAATTTCCCCTCCATCTGTATTCTCATTTAACTAGCCACAGATATCTTCTAAAGGCACAAACAGATGGCTGTAAACTGCCTGGATATGAAATATAAAGACTTTTCCTATAGCCCCTAACTCCAGTCCAACAGTTCATAAAGGTAAAGCATGAAGGTGCAACTGACTCATGGCCGCCCCATAAACCTCCACCTCATGGAGTTTTCAAGGCAAGAGATGAGCAGAAGTGGTTTGCCATTGCTTTTCTCTGCATAGCATAGTTGAATTGTGTTTGTAATAACTGCTGTTTCTTTATTGTTTTAATTTCATTTTTTAAAATTTGAAACTAGAGACTCATCCTTATGCTACAAGATAAAATCAAGATTGTTCAATGAATCATTCATATTTATAAAAAGCTTACCTAACATTATTACTATTTATAACAATGAATTACAAGTTAATGTAATTGTTCTGGAATGACAACTAATTAATTTGTTTTTGTAATTAACACTAGTATCAAACACATGGAGATGAAGAAAGTAGATGTAAATGTTTATAACTGGATACCAGGTCTTAAAAATAATTCTAATACTTGTCTGTTATGAATTACGTGCTGTATCATTCATTACCTTTGAATGAATTGTACATTATGAAAATGAGCACATAGACCTAGTTTATATATGTATTTCTATGGAGGGGAATAGCATCACTATTAAAGTGCTGAAAGCAGGCTGAGTAGACCTGGATGCAAATCCACACAGAAATTAAGTTCACTAGTTATCTTCAAGCCAGTTGCCCGCTGTCAGTATAATTTGCCTCACAGCACTGCTGTGATGAAGAACTGTATGTACATAAACTATCCTGAATTGTTAAGATTATTAATAAAAGACTACTAATAGTCAATCTCATTTATCATTGTTGAATGAAAAGGTGATCTATAAAGTATTCAAGACCAGCCTGTTTACAATATTACAAATCAAAATGAAATCCTGAATTGTGCTAGTCTTCAGAGGTAGCCCTATAAATGTTTCTGACCAAAAAACCCAGGAAGATAAATCATTATTATATGCTAGCCCAATGACAAGATAAACATGGCAGCTGCAGGTGTTATATATCTCCAGCTAATATTTTGTTCTTCAGCAGAAAATATGTTGGGCAAAAAAAGTACTGGGAAATTGTATTCCCTTTTATTTTAAGTTTGGATAGAGACATGTGTATTCACTTCCTTGGAAAGAAGACCACACATTAAATTACTCCAGTGATTTCTAGCTGACAGATGGAAAAAAAGGTGTTGTAGTGCTGTAGTGTATGTACAACTCAGCTTGTTGGCTGCAGGTGGAGGTGCAGGTGTAGTGTATGTACAACTTGTTGGCTGCAGGTGTAGTGTATGTACAACTCAGCTTGTTGGCTGCAGGTGGAGGTGAAAGCAGAAAGTAGATAAATGAGGTTTCCCATCCTCTCTTATCTCCATTTAGATAGATCTATACATGGGCAGTTTACTTCTCTGCATGTCTACTATTTGAGAAAACAATGAAAACAACAGAACAGGTTCTGACAAGAATCACAAGTTTACACCACTTTGTACAACAGATGACAAACTCTCTCAAAAGCTGGGTCTTCTCTTGTGATTAGCACCAACTGCTATAAAAAGATCTGCAGTATGAATCTGACTTCGGATGTACAAAAGTTGCAATATAAGCTATCACAAAGTATACAAATAGTTTAAAAGTATTTCAAAGCATCTCAAATTCTGGACAAATGGGGGGAAAGTTACCTTCTATTTGCTAACTAGTAATTCAACTTACACTGCTTAAAGAAATGTTATCCAATGCACTGTTCTAACACATATCAGAGGTTGTACTTGTAAAATGTTTGTCCCCTAAAGCAATATTTAGCCACTGGGTAACTCTAATTTGAAAACAGCTCTGATTTTGTTAAACACAAACTGCAGCCCTCATTCAGAGTTGCTCGCATAAGGCAGACTGTCCTCTTTTTTTCTGTAGGATAGGCAAATTCTATTCAAGTTTACTCAGCACAGTTCCACTGAGTTAAACGGGTCTCATTCCCAATTATACCAGCACAGGACTGTAGGTTTAAAATCACTGTTGAAAGTGGCCCAAAATGTCAGCCTACCATCAAAAAGCATATCAGGCTTTTCCTGAAAGTCTGTCCAATAAATGGATTTCCATAAACTTCTAAATTAAATAAGAGTCAAGTATAATTCAGCACTGAAACTTACAAGTTAGCTATCCCCCTCAGAGAGAACATTTCCCATCACTGTTCTACAGTCAGTTTGAGGACACAATGGTTGAATTTGTGCACCACAGACACAAGCTAAAATTAAACTGCAATCAAACACAGTGTGCTCCTAAACCTGCATGTTCTCCTCTCAGCATAAAGACCTTGGCTGAAACCTTCCCAGCTTGATTAACCTCCAGGTTGCCATGATACAAGCACCTTGGCAAACCAGAATCAGTTTTCCCTCACAAGCAAGGATTCTAAACCTTGGTTAAATCCCAGTTTAGAATCCTAGTCTGAGGCCCCGGTCACACGAGAGGTTTTGGGCTGGGAGAGGGACGGATTGGTGACGCAGCAAACGGGCACGATCCCACCACAACATCTGGGAAGCGTTGCGTCCCCGATCCGGCCCTTCCGCCCAAAACACGCAGCAAAAATACACCACCTACCAAGGTGGTTCTTCTGGCAAGGCCGCATCAAGGCCGGCTGTGGGATCGCCGGCGCGTCCTTTCACCAGCACATCCCTGGCTCCTGGCCGAACTGCGCATGCTCAGACATGTGCAGTTCGGCAGCCTCCTGTCGCTGTCTCCCGGGCATCTAATCGTGCTGGGGAGCAATTGCGCCACGGCTCATGGGATCTGTATGATCCCGCCACCGCGTGCCTATTTTGGTGCGGCTTTTAAAAGCCGCACTTTTGCCCGACTTTTTTCCCCCGTGTGGCAGGGACCTGAGGGGAGTAAACAACCTCTGATTTGCTAAGGTGTTTATATCTGGATATTAAGCCAAAAAGATACTTGGTCAAACAGGGAAATTTCCAATCCGATTTCATGCACAAGAAGAAGGGAATACGCAATCACAGCAAGCAAGCTGCACTGGTGCTCGACAAGCTCTGTTTAATTAGTTTGTTACAATGTCCTCACAAACCTCTTTCAAGCAGAATGTGTTATAGAAGACTGGGTACAAGAGATGCATAGCCTGCCCTGTATGAACTTTGCTGGGGAGGAGGGAGAGCATACAGAGATACAGGTCCTGTACAGTTTCCCATTCCTTGGAGGGCTGGTTTATACAACTGTGTCTATGATCCACAATGGAAAGCCAAGATTTTATCCCAACAGCATTATAACATTTTCAAACATAACTACACACACAATTCACTTGTGTGTACTTACTTAAAAAGAACAATTGCATGACTGAGTCAAACCTTCTTTTATAACTTTATAAACCTTCTTTTATAACTTCATAGTTTCATCTGTCAGTTAATGGGTGTGTAGTGCAAGATTCATTTGTATGTTGCCAGCACTTTCAGACACATATGAAGCTGCTTTTCTACCAAGTCATATCAGTCATCTGTACTGTCTACTTTGATTGGCAGAAAGGGCCTTCCCCCTCCCAACACCTGCCACCCCAAGATCCTTTACTGAAGATCTAAACTGAGTTCTTCTGCACGCACAGCACAGACCCTCATGAGTTCTGGCTCTTTAATTTTTGTTTTAGATTTCCAGCTTTAACACACAGCTCATATTCCAAAAACGTTGTGGGAAACACAGAATGTTTAACAGAACACTATACTGTACTGGAACCACTATTCAGTACTGCTTTATCAGCAAAGTACATTACATTTTTACACGGGAACATTGTGAAGCAGAAAAACACATAAACGTGGATCCATTTTAAAAAAGGATCTCTGGCAGCATTATGGTATTTTAAAACAACTGAGAGACTGTGTGATGACGTCATTAAAACCTGCATGTCTGTTTGCCCCAGATGAACCCTGTTCAGTATATACGCTGTGCTGAAGTAGCTTGGCTACAGCAAGTTAACCCAGTGGAAGAAGAAAAAAAAAGCGCCACTGAAGTGCAAAATAAACTCGTTATTGAGCCATTCGCCACCACTCAAAAATAGAAGTCGGGTTGATGTCTACCCGAGGAATTATCCCCACCAGCCCGGCGAGCTGAGAAAACTTGGGCTGACTACCAGATGCGGCGGCCTCGGATAAGTTTCTCCGACTTCGACCGAGTTTACTGCCAAGTAAACAGGACAGGAATACAGACCTGAGGCAGATTTTTTACTCTTGCATGTACACCTGGCATGGGGGAGGAGGGTGGAAATAAATAACCAATAATAATCGGCTGAAATTAAAAATGAACCTTTCTGTAACCCTCAACTGGGCCCGAGGCGGAGCGACTCCACGATGAGCGAGGGGCACAGAAGCTCAGCAGGGGAAACCTGCAGGCGAAATCGGCTTGGGGAGGGGGGGAGGGGCTCCCGCGTGGCGGTGAGGAGGGGGGGCCGCGCATCCCCCGGCACGAGGAAGAAGCTCGCCGCACTCGAGCCCCGCGCGCCAGGCCCGAAGAGGGCCTCCTCGCGACCGTTATAACGGCCCAGTGGCCGCTCGCGCTGGGAGGCCGCTCCAGTCCTCGGTCTCCCCATCCCAGTGTCCTCCGCTTTTCCCTCGCCGAAGAACGGCGGACAACACTGAAAGGCCTTTTATTTAAGAATTCTTCTTACCCGCGACCCCTCAGCCCTGACTCCACCATCGTCGCCGCGGCCATTTTGAACTCCCGAACGCCTTCTCTGCTGCTGCCGAGCGCTGGTGAACAGACTGGGGCGTGGCGCATGCGCGGTGGAAGGGCCAGCTCAGGCGACAGGTGACAGAGGAACTCGCCGAGCGTGGAACAGCCTCTCCTCAGCGACCGGAAGTGAGGTGGACATCACGCGCCTGGATGGGGAAGAGAAGGGTAACTTCCGGTGTCTGGGTGTGGTTGGGAGAATTGCACCATACGAAGATTGTGATATTTCTGACTCCCAGTTGACAAGTGACTGTGCGCGGTGTATTCAACGACGAACGTTGTGTTGGAGAGGTCTTCCTGTTCTACGTATTTTTTTTGCCCAGTGTATGATCATTTTCAAATGTATGGGGGAAGTGTAGATCATGCTTGTTTTTTTTACATCTCTATGGTTTAAGTAATCCAGGAGGAGCGGGAAATGGAAGTTGTTTTAGGGAGTGTCTGTAAAAGGCATCTGTCAGGCACAGGCGTAGAATGTTTCTGATAGTTTCTCAGCCGTTCTACGTTTAGTCGAGAGGACAAAATGTTGGATCACTCAACTCGGAACGATGGCAATCTATGGATTCATTGTATTCAGTGCCACATACTCCCAAATAACTATGCAGTGTGACTGCAGCTATTGCGGCTTAATCCTTTCCGTGATCACTAGAAGTAAAGTGTCCTCTTACAAACTTTCTTGGACTGGAGACCACTACTTCAGATGCAATGAGCGAATCGTTATCACACAGACGTTTTAACCGGGAGGAATGGGGGGGGGGGGGACACATACGGTACTTGGTAGTTGTCTGCTGCAAACTGCTTTTTGTCGTTCTTTGTTACAACAGACTAACTTAGGTACCCCTCTAAAAATAACCCACTGAGTTCACAGTTATTCACTGCAAGTAGATTCGGGACCAGCTCAAGAAAGTGCAGTGCACTGACAAAGATGTAGTGATGGCCACTAGTTTAAATAGAACTGCCGTGCTCAGAGGTAGCATACCTATGAATGCTGCTGAGATGCTGGAAAAGTTGCCAATGCCCTCCATGGGGCTTTCTGGAAACATTTGGCTGTCCTTGATGCAGAGAATCCAAGATGGTGAACGATTTTCAGAGTGTAGACTTGCCCAACACAATAATCAACTAACTGACAATAGCAAGAATATTATCAACAAGTGCCTAGTGGGCAAGGTATCATTAAAATATGTTCTAAATAAGTGGTACTTATGGGGTTTACAAAAATGGGACTGGAGGATGGTGCACACACCTCTTAACAGAAGACCATAGTTCAGGAAGAATGGCTTGGGGAGAAAAACCCTGGTAGCAGCTACCACATTAAAAAGGTTGTCATTGGTTCACAGGATTATATAAGGAGTGGAATGCAGGTCCCAGGCCATGTAGGGCTTTAAGGGTCAGCACCTTAAATTGAACCCAGAAAGGAATACACCACCAATTTGGATATTCTGATGTAATATGCTGCCAGTGCTGTATCCTAATTGAATTAGCTGTAGTTTCTAAATTGCCTTTACAGCAGATTGCAATGACTGAATCTCAGTGGCATGGGTCAGTGAGACTTGATTGGCTGAATCCAAATAAGGGGTTGACTTATGGGCTAGATGTCAGTGATAAAAGGCACTTTTGGTAGCATCATCAGTGCACTTTTCCATTAACATTATTGATCTTGTACCATGGCAGGCCATTTCATATTGTCACAAACTGTGACTTAGATCCAGGTGGGCAGCTGTGTTGGTTTGAAGCAGTAGAATAGATTTTAAGTCCAGTGGCATCTCTAAGACCAACAAAAGTTTATGGAAGGTATGACCTTTTGTGTGCGTGCACACTTGGTACCTGAGGAAGTGTGCATGCACCCGAAAGGTCATATCTTGAATAAACATTTGTTGGTCTTAAAAGGTGCCACTGGACTCAAAATGTGACTTAGTGTGTCATCACTCAATAGTAGGGCTCTTTTTGTAGCAGGAACTCCTTTGCATATTAGGCGACACACCCCAGTGTAGCCAATCCTCCAAGAGCTTACAGTAGCCCCTGTAAGAAGAGCTCTGTAAGCTCTTGGAGGATTGGCTACATGAGGGGTGTGTCTCCTAATATGCAAAGGAGTTCCTGCTACAAAAAGAGCCCTGATTAAGTTTTTTCCAACATAGTCATTCAAAGGCATTTTGTCCATTAAAAAAAAATTATTCAATGTTAACAAAAATACAAAATAGAAAAAATCAATACCTCATCCACCATAGTTGTCCATTTTTCAGGGTTCATGGGTTACTGTGGTAAGTGTGGGGTACTGTACTAAATGTGGAGAGGGGGATCTCCTTGCTGCTATTTGACAATTTCCTTCTGAAAATACCAGAAGCAGGTATGTGCATAGTAGGTAGGTAACATTCTCACAGTGCAAAGAGACAATTGGGCTGAAATATAATGGATGGACTAGAAGATATGTAAATGTCAGCTTCTCAGGTGAGAGGACTGGATTCTTGAATATTTGGGTTTTTGTATTAATTCATTAAATGTTTAGGTTATTATTATTATTATTAGGTTATACTATTTCATCTGTCACAGTGGTTACCTATCAAACATAGTGAACAGTTATAAAAACCAGACCTTAACTCTTCAGTTGATAATACCTAAACTAGATCAATTTGGATCCAGCAGGAGCATTTGTGGAACAGCCTGCCTGAGGAGATCACTTCTATCATTTTGCAGAATGTGCCAAACAGAAATGTTCAGGAGGGCATTTTTATAAATGGATCAGAACTGCAGCATAATGGAACAGTCCAGGAGGGCACATTTATAAAGGAATGGGATTGAAGTTTTTTGCAATGTCCATTGTATGTTTCACCTTGCTTACTGCATTATAGTATGTCATGTCTTAGATACATCTTTTTTTGTTTGCATTGTTTTCTAATTCTGTAATACCAGTCTTTTGCATTCTTTATTGCATGCTTTATCCTGTCTGATTGAATTTGTTTAATATGTTTTGTAACTGAATCTCAGGGAGGAAGGCAAGCTATAAAAGGGGGAAAGTAAATAAATTTGGCATTTGTTGCTTTTGTTACTCTGTAAAGCATGGCAGTCTTTTACAGCACTGTATAAACCTTTTTTAACTTTTTAAAATTTTAATATACAAACAGTAACTAACCAACATAAACAAATAACCAACTTTTAAAAATGGAACAGGGATATAGGAGGTTACCAGCTGAGGTTACACAGAATACAAAGCCACTTAATGAGACAGTATAAAGAACAGATTCTAATGTACTAAACGATGTATAGGGACAAATAAATAGAGGTTGCCTTCCAAAATATTAATTGGATGTGAATGATTAAAAAAATTTTCACTGTTAGATATAAATTCTATAACAGGGAACCATTGCTCCTTGATAGGTGCCATCCAGCCAAAGTTAAGTTCTGTTGGTTTCAATAGAAGAGTCAGGGAGCAATCCTAAACAAGTCTACACAGGAACAAATCCCATTTTATCCATTAGGGCTCACTCCCAGGAAAGTGTTCTTGGAATTACAGCCTTAAATATGTGCCTAAATCAATTGGAACCAATGGAATTTAAAACTGCCCTGACCTGGGTAGCCCAGGCAAACCCAATCTCATGCACTTGGAAGGGCAACCTCCAAGGAATACCAAGGCTAGAACATAGAGGCAGGTTATCAAGCCACCTCTCTGAAACATCCTACCCCCACTAGGTGTCGCCAGAAGTCACCATGACTTCCAGGTTCGCAAGCACATACACACAAACTATATTAACCAAAAAAAATAGTAGCAGGGTCAATTCCTGATATTTCCAGTTTCCTTGCTTGCTTGAGCTCATGCACACATCTTGGTCAAAAGTTATGAATAAATTTGGAAACTCAGAAGCATGCTGGTACCAAGCATAATGTTCCCAACCAACAAGGTAAAACATTTTTCAGCAATCAATGGACAGTGGTTGAAGAGAAGGAAGAAATTGTGTTGCTCCCATTCAGACATCCTGGCAAAGTTCTACCAAATAGGTTCCAAGCCACACACAACAGATATAAAAATAATATACATATATTATGCAAAGTGATTTACTAATGCAGCTGTTTGTCAGTGAGCTGCTAGTTTCCATTGCCATTTTCTGGCCTGCATCCACATTTTCCAGATTATGTCAACAACAGGCTTTAGCATAAATGTTTGCTTTTGCATGAAGAGATAGCCGTATTAGAATCATACAAGCAGGGGACATCACATTTTTCCTTCCTCCACTACTTCCTCTTTCTACTCCCTGAAAGCCTTCAAGCCTCTCCCCTTTTCCTGCTTCAATCTCTCCTTCCCACCCACCTGCCAACCTATCCCCACCCCATCTTCAGCTTTCTTTCCAACCCCTAGGCAACCTCTTCCCCGGGGAAAACTGGCCCAGTTGCACAGGGCCAGCCACCGGGCTAGGTCCAATTACATGTTGGGGAACTTGAAAGGGCTTGTGCTTGGGGGGGGGGGGAGACACCTAATTTTTCTCTGTCTCTTTTAACAACCCTCATAAACGTCATCTTTCACTGCTTTCTTCTCCCCTTCCCACCCATCTACCTTTTATCTGCCCAATATCTTCATCTATATAGTTTCATTTCTGTCCTGTGTTTCTCCACAATGAGGACAGAAAGTAATTTACATCATTCTCCTCTCCATTTTATCCTCACAACAACCCTGTGAGGTACCTTAGGCTGGAAAAGTGTAACAGTGAAAAGGGGGGAAAGCAAAATAGAGGGTTGGTTGTGTGTGTACTACAGAAATAGAGTTACCATATTCTGCAAAGCAAAAAAGAGGACATCTTTCCCCACTGACTACTTCAAACAAGTGATCACTATGACAGATCTCACTTGAATACCCCTACTATTTAAACTGTGATAATTTCAACTAACTAGGAATATTCCTAACCTTCCACCCCCAAAAGAGGACATTTTCATCCGTTTTTTTCAAAAAGAGCCCAAAAGAGGACAGACACCCCAAAAAGAGGACATCTGTTAACCCCAAATGATTCTCAAAGGGGCGAGAGGAAAGGAGGACGCCCACTTTGCCTTCTCACCAGCATGCAGTTCCTTCTGAAGATGGTTACAGTTGCAAGATCTACCCTGAAATTATTTTTAAACAAATCAGTAGAGGGTTACAGAAGCCATTGCGCTCTGAAAGGAGGGTGTCTTGCTATGACAACAGTGACCAAAAACATGTGGGAATCCTGTATGGCCGCAATTTGTACACCCTCCCTCAGCGCTTTAGAGGGAGGGATCTAAACATAGGCAAAGAGGCGTTTGAAGTTGGGTGGGGAGCGGAAGCGGAATGAAACCAAAGGGAGGCATCCTGCTTTGCCTCCCCCTGTTGCAGGGAGTGGAAGATTCCTCTCTCCTTCCTCGGCTAAGCGAGCGTGCTGAAGATTCGCAGCGGTTTGCGGGGCGCTTTCGGCTGCGCAGGGCCGGTTCGCTGAAGATCAGAAATATATTTTCATGAAACTTTTCCCAATGGCTAACAGAGGGGTTTCTTTAATGGACACGTCCACGTCTCCGGCATAAGCAACTCCGAGGAGGGACAAGGAGGATTCTGGCCTCTGTTGGCTGCATTTTGAAAGACAAAAAGCGCAAAGGGCCTCTATTATCAGTTGCCTCCTCTACGGTATAATCTTTGACTATCTCCTTTTTAATTTCCAAGCCCCTACTTCTGCTGCCGATAAACAGGAGACAGTGATTATCTGTCTTGCCTTGTTGTAGAGGAAAGCCAAGAAAGGAATTATTCTGTATATGCTGGAAATAGTCTGCTATTGACTTGAAGACAATTGGTATGTTTTGCATGTAGATTTTTTGGGGGGTAAAGGAATACTGTAAATATTGTTGGCTTAAACATTTGCAATTTTGTTTCTAGTTTTTTGGACGTTTGATCTGATGCAACTGTAGATGCCGTGATCTGAGTTTCGTTATGAACAGTTGTTTAAGTATAGCAGTTAACCTGTTTTTTAAAAGTCATGCCCAGTTTTCTTTCCAAATTAAGATGCAACTTTTAACCTGTAGTTTTAACAGGTTGCTTAACCACCACCCCCAAAAAAACCTACAGCTATAATTGTGCCAGTTTTAGTAAGATAGCGCAGCTTAACATGGGACAGATTTTGAACTCTTTATTTCTCTTACAGGCTTGTACATGTCTACATGAGTTTAATTGTACATATTAGTATTTCCACACATATTGCTCAAGTTATTTAAGGGAAAAATACACACAGACTCTGTTTTTGCAATAACGGACCTTGACATTTGCCAATCTGATCCAGACAATGGCTCTTACTACGCAAGAGATGAAAGCTGTCGAGGACTTTTCCCTCTAAAAACACAGAACGTCTTTTCCCGTTGTCATCTGTATTCTGGATGCTGCTTGATGTAAGTATTTAGGAATGTTTATATAGGTTCAAGGAATCCAGTTAATATTTTGTTTTTGTGAAGTCATGTTTTGTTTGAAAATGTTTCAGTCATTCCAAATTCTTGGTGTTTAGTACAGCACATAGCTTGTTCTGGCTGAGGATTTGGATGTCTCTTTCAGATGTTTCTGGCCGCATCCACACAAATGGTTGAGCAGTGAAGTTCCCACCCTGCTCCATCCAACTTGCTGCTTCCCCTCCCCATTTTTGTCCAGACAGTCTGGACAAAAACTGCCTGCACATTTCCCCCTTATATCTCCACAACAAAACACACTAGAGACTTAAAAAAAAAAAAGAAAGCTGGGAATTCAGAAAAACTAGAACATTGTGGCATTTTTATAACATTGTGTAGATTTTTTATAACATTATTGCACTATAGTGCAGTAGTAACTACTGATTAAAGGAAAAGCCATGAGAAAACCCCTTGATGGCAGAGCAGGGGAAGCAGTGGCTGCAAGGAGTGGGAGTGGGCAGAATGATCAGATGGCATGTTTAGACTGTATTTGTTCAAAAAAGATCACAGCAGAACAGGTAGGGGAATAATTAGAGCAAAGCAGAGAAAAATCTGGAAAGTGGACACAGCCAGTTGGATCTTCCGTGGCCAATCAGAATCACTGGTGAGCAAGAGCCCGACCTGGCCCCAACCACCTTTTAAAAACACTTGGTGAGTGCTAAGAAAAGTGCTTGCGGGTGCCATGTTGGGGACTCCTGCTGTAGTGTGCCAGTGGACACCTAGTTAGTATTGGACAGGATGTAGACTCCTAAGCACTTTCATTTGGTATTAATCCCTTGAAAGTATTTTGAACTTGTATATAAATGTCTTGGAATCAAGGAATCAAGGAAAGAAAAATAACCGAAAAGCAAATATTTCAGTGAATATTTCTGTTTGATGGGTTTTTTTCAAAGCTGGCAGGAGACTGGGGTAAATTCACCAAGCATCTGTTCACCCAAGACTGGTTTAGATATACTGGGATCAAAAAGGATTGCCAAGGGTAGCTGTGTTAGTCTGTTACAGCAAAAATAAAGCAGCAGTCTGAGGGTGCTCTAAAGACTAATGGGGTTTATCTCAATATTAGCTTTTATGAGCTTTATTTCGGTATGAGCTTCCTCATATCTGAGGAAATGAGATGTGACTCACAAAATATCATATTCAAGTAAATACTGTTAGTCTTCCTTTTATTTAATCAGAAAGGAACCACCAACAGACTGAAAGATAATAAGAGGATTGGGGTTTTTAGTGCAATAGATCTTTCTTCCTCATTCATTTTTATGACTTGCTAGATTCTTAAATTACAAAATACTTATGCTCTATTTAAAATACATCATAGATAAAAACCTTAGTAACCCACCATTAGCAAAATACTCATGATCAGATGTAAATTAATTAAACATGTATTTGTTAAATGTAAAAAAATGCATTATTTTCAGCTAAGGACTGGGGATGGAGAATTTTCATGAGCCTGTTAATATGATACCAAACTGTGTAAGGATTGAAACCCTCAATCCTGTGTAAGGATTGAAACTGGGTATTGCTGTAATCAATATTTCTCATGTCTTCCTTTTTAAATGGCTACTCCCTCTGGTTGAAAACAGATTTGAATATTAATTTTTTTTTATTTATTAGATTATTTTAGTCACTACTCACCCAAAGGGTCTTGCGGCAACTTACAACAGCTAAGCAACATAATAGCAGATGTTAAAAACCAACAAAATCAGATAATGTGTATAAGATACTAAGATATATAACTCCGCACCATACCACTGTCAAACCTGCCCTAAACATCTGGCTAACCTCCAAAGGCCTGAGAAAGCTAAGCAAGTCCTGCAGGACATGGGTGTCGTCAAGAGAGTGCATATTCCACAGGGTAGGGGCCATAACTGAGAAGACCCTTGCCCTGGTAATAGCTAACCAAACCATTCTGGGCCTATGCACCTGCAAAAGGCCCTGAGTGGATGACCATAGGGGGTGCAGGGCAGGGTTGTAATGGAGAGGTCCTGTGAATGTGAGACTTACTTCCACTTGAATTAGTGGCATCTTTAATACCAACAAAGTCTTATTCAGGGTATAAGCTTTCATATGCAGGTACACTGTATCTGAAGAAGTGTGCCTGCACCCGAAAGCTTATACCCAGAATAAAACGTTGTTGGTCTTAAAGGTGCCCCACTGGACTCCAACTTTGTTCCGCTGCTTCAGACCAACATGGCTGCCCACCTGAATCTATCTCCACTTGAATTGTACTTCTTCGTTTTAACTTTTTAAAAAATATACGTTGCAGTTTCCACGAGATGAGTCGCCGTGGGAACAACTGGGCCTACACTGAGGTCATTGACCTCTTGGATATATGGGGAGAACAGAAGATCCAGAAGTTGCTTCAGAGTAGCTATCGAAATATGGACACATTCCAGGTCATTGCAAGCGAGATGGCCAAGAGGGGACACGAGCGTACAGCACAAGAATGTCGGACCAAAACAAAAACAATGCGCCGAGATTACAAAAAGGCCAAGGACAACTCTCCCTATGGGGGCGGACGTCTCATGTGCCCGTTCTATGAGCAGCTTGACAGGATATTGGCTGGGGATTCGAGCTTCCAGCTGCCTAGGAGGCAACCGAATATCACTCTGCCAGAGGAATCTTCGGGGGATACCAATTCCCCGTGTCCCACTGCAGAGGGAGTGGTGCCAGTGATGAACGGGGACTACCTGGAGGGCCAGGATCAGTGTTCTCCCTGCACACAGTTATCTGTGGAAATCTCTGATTCCGCCACGCCCAGCCCCATGTTCTACATGACAAGGGCAGCATCTGCAAAGCCTGCAAGCATGTCTTGGCCAGCAGCAAGTAAGCACTGACTAGACCACCCTGCCATTGTAAATATGTGCTTGTCCTCGTTTTGGGGATTGATTCATTGATTGATTAAATTTATACCCTGTACCATCTGCCCACAGGGGACTTGGGGTGGCTTACGACATTTAAAAAAAACACAATAAAAGCAAACAAATTAATGCAATAAATAGAGCAATAAAACCAACTAGAATATTGACTGATTAATCAGATAAATTAAAAGTGGCCAGCTCCCTGGTTTGTAACGTTAACCAAAAGCCGCATGGAATGAAGCAGCCTTATATGCCCTATGGAATGCTGGAAGGTCCCGCAGGGCACAAACTACCCCGGGGAGCAGATTCCAGAGAGACGGCGTAACCACTGAAAATGCCCTTGCTCTGGTGGTTGACAACCCGGTAGTTCATGGGCCAGGCACTTGTAGAAGGTCCTGCAATGCTGATCTAAGGAGGCTGGGGGGTCATACTAGGAGAGGCAGTCACACGGGTAAGATGGTCCCAGACTGGTTAGGGCTTCATAGGTCAAAACCAGCACTTTGAATTGGCACCAGAAGCTGATCAGAAAGCAGTGCAGTCGCCAAAGTGTTGGTGTTATATATTCAGGCCGGGGAGACCCAGTCAGCAATTTAGCAGCCGCATTCTGGACCACCTGAAGCGTCTTTCAAGGCAGCCTTGTGTAGAGTGCCTTGCAGTAGTCTAATCTGGAGGTGGGTCACAGGGGCAAGGGTAGAGCGGGACTGATAGGGGGCCAGCTGGCGGGCTCAGTGTAGGTGATAAAACACGGTCTTCCCCACCCTGGACTTTTGTCCAGGATGAGGGAAGAATCGAGCCACATCCCTGAGCTCCTAATGGAGTCCACTGCAGAGAGGTGGACTCCGTCAGGCGCAGGTAAAGCCGGCCACCCCTGAGCCCTGGACCTACCCGGCCACATGATCTCCGCTTTTGAAGGTTTTAACTTCAGCCAGTTCTTGCCTAGCCAGTCCACCACTGTGTCCAGGCACAAGGCCAGGGCCAAGATCCCAGCACCCGGCCACTTTTCAAGCAGGAGGCAGAGCTGGGTGTCATCTGCATATCGGTGACACCCAATTCCAAACCTCTGGACAGTGCATCGCTTTTGATAGTTAATGGCTACTTGTGTTTTATAGCTCACGTGTTGTTGTTTTTCATTCCTTCCCTTGCCTACTAGAAGCTGATCACCCGGCTCCCTCCCTGCCATCGTTCTTCCCTACTCACCCAGGCAGCTCATCAAACAAAGACTCACGAATGGGTAATACAGCTGTGTTTTGAGATTGAGCGATATATTCCCTTTATTTATTGTACCCCACCCCCTTTTCTTGCAGAGGCTCCAAGCAGATTACAGTGATGCAGCCAGAGAATGGCACAGAAAAGCAGAAGACCATGCAGTTAGAGCAAAATGAAGCATGCAACAAGGACTGGAGAGACTGTTTTCCTTTATCAAAACAGCCTACTGTGCCAATCCATCCTATTAGATCCCTATTCCCTTTCCCAGGTCATTGCAAATGACCTAAGCAGGGTTAAATCCAGCTAGTATTTGGATGGGAGACCTCCAAGGAATTCTGGGATTGCTATGCAAAGGAAGGCAATGACAAACCACCTCTGAACATCTCTTGCCTTGAGAAGAAGAAGAGACTGGATTTATACCCCGCCCCTCACTACCCAAAGGAATCTGAGCAGCTTACAATCTCCTTTCCCTTCCCCTCCCCCAAATGATACCCTGTGAGGTAGGTAGGGCTGAGAGAGTTCTCTCGAGAACTGCCCTTGAGAGAACAGCTCAGAGAGAACTTGTGACTGACCCAAGGTCACGCCAGCAGCTGCATGTGGAGGAGTGGGGAATCAAATCTGGTTCTCCCAGGTTAAAGTCCGCACACTTAACCACTACACCAAACTGGCTCTCAGGGTCACCGTAAGTGAACAGTGACTTGACAACACTTTCCACCCCCACCCTTCCCTTTTCAGAAATGCCCTTCTGAATATTTCTGTTTTACACAATCTGAGGAATAGTAGAGGTGTGGAAGCCTTCCTGGCATCCTCAGGCAGGCCGTTCCACAGGATGGGAGCCACAGCGAAAAAGGAGTGGGTGCCGGCTGAAAGGCCTTCACGACACATTTGCAGCCTTTCCTCTCTTTAACGTGCCCTTTTGTACATATCGCTTGTTTTCAGACGTGGAAATGCCATCGTCGCCATCTACTCTGCTGCACAACTGCGCAACCCTTTCTTCAGAAGGGCGCCTGACCAGAGTCCGAAAGCGCCAGCGGAAGACGAGGAACGACTTGGTCATGGAACTGTCGAGGATAGCAGACAGGAGGGTGCAGACGGCCACAGACCGGATCCTGTCTTCCCTGAATAGGTACGCCACGGCGGACTTACAGGACCGCGAGAGAGACCGGGCAGACACCGCGCAGATCATCGCCATCATGCACCGCCAGACGGAACTGCTGGAATCTCTGGTGCAGATGCAGTCCAACGAACAGACTCCCGCCTCCCCTCCGCCCTCGTGGCATGCCCGGCCTCGTTCCGCCATTTCTCCTCCCTCTCGCTCGGGCATCCCAAGACGGACTCTCGTGCCCAGAGTGAATCACAGGAGAAGGCCCCAGAAGTATAGCCCTTAATTGCACGGTTGCAGTTTTGTCCCTTGACATTACCGTTTTATAACGTTCCCTTCAGTTCCTTTGATTTTATTTCTTAAAACGTTATATAGGTTGTGAATTCCCCCTTCCCCTTTCACTGATACTTGGAGGAGTAATGGGGTGATGAGCATGAGACAATCTGTCTCTTCCGTGTAACCGTGTAACCGTTTCTCCTCCTTTCACGGTTGGAGCCAGCTTTCCTCTTCTGTGCTGCATACAGGATGAAAGTGTTACCACCCTAATGGATATATAAGTGAAATGGTACGACGTTTTGTAGGGGGTGAATACAATACAATATAAGCTTACTTAGTGTTAACAGTAAGCTCCTGCCCAGAGGGTTTCACGCACCTCCACATGTCCCCTTGTTTGTGGCCAGAATGCTGAACTTTTGTGCCAAGAGGAGGAAAAGATGCCTGACTTCCTCCAGCTTTCCACTCAGCACCCAAAGGGCTGAAAACCGTCATTTGCCTCCCAGCTAAAAAAGTGACCAGCTGTGCAGAAGGCCTCTCTGTCACTTCCAGCTGTTCCCATCTGTGGTGCTGGCAGGCGGGGGACTGATGCAGGTGTGCTGGAGTAACTGGCGCACATGGGCTCTGTAAATCCTGGGTGCAGATGCACCTCATAGTTTTTTGTTATGTCACTGAGATGGCTGTGGGGGAAAATGGCAGACAGCTGCAGAATGGTGAGAAGAGTCTAGAAGGAAGTAGAAATGACTTCAGGGATGAATGCAGGCCGGCTATGTTAGGATGTGTGTGCGCGCGCGCGCATGCGCATTAGAGTTAGACATGGAAGTAGGTGACCAGGGCAGTGCAAGTTGGTTTCCTATGAGCTTGCTGTGATGTCCCTTCTCCACTCACACAGAGGGCCTACCACCCTCTAAAACCTCACTCTCAGGTTCAGGGTTACATTGAACTTTTGAGCCATGGTCTTATTTCCACAATCAGGATTCTTCGTTCCAAATTGACTCTTCAGCTAACTCTTCAGCAGCTCTTCACAGCTTCACTCAGCCAGACACCCTCTCAGCTCCCTAGCTACCTACTCCCAACTGCTTTTTTAACTGCTGTTGCCCAACTGTCTCTCCCCAACATTGATGGCTCGTAGGGAGAGGTGGAACCTGGTGTGTTCGTCACACTTGCATTGGACCAAGAAGGCCCTGACCTGGATAGCCCGGGCTACCCCTATCCCGTCAGATCTTGGAAGCTAAGCAGGGTCGGCCTTGGTTAGTATTTGCAAGGGCCACCTCCAAAGAATACTAGGGTTGTGATGAGGAGGCAGGCAATGGCAAAACCACCTCTGAAACATCTCTTGCCTTAAAAACAAGTCTAGTTCCGCCACCTAGTGGTGCATAATGCTTAAAAGAGCTAGAACTGTTGGCTGCCAGATAATCTTAGGATCTCCTGGCTATTCTGCACACAATGCCATATGAAAATGATGATGATGATGATGATGATGATGATGATGATGATGATGATGATGATGATGCTGAACCGAGAAGATAAAAAGACCAGGAGGAGATGTATTGAGTGCATGGAAGTGGAGAGCATCGAATACAGATAGCAACAAATGCAAGGAACATTTAAATGGAGCAAAGATATACAACCGATTTGTATTGGCTCCCTCCAATAGCCCCCTTAATTCCCTGGAATCCCCCAACTGAGATTTGGGAGACCCTCCAGAGCAGCCATGGAACTGAACTGGGGAAAATGGCAGGAATCCACCCCCCATCCCCTTTTTCCAGCCCCCTCTGAATTGAACCCCGCCTGTGCAAGCACCACAGACGCATTGGATTCAGCCCTATAAAGTCAAAGGCTGTTCTGGAGGTTAAGAGGGCTTCCGTGCAGCAACTGCAGGAGGGGTGAGACCGCCAGAGCTAAAGGAGCAGGAGTTACGCGGGGTAATAGCCAGGCAGTAACTTCCTCCTTTGACAGCAGCAGTGAACAGGGAAGAGAGGAACTGGATATCTCACAGGAGAGGTGCCAGCTGGTATCTGTGGGGGAGTTTTGCCTGTTCACTGTAGTTCTTTGCATCACTCTTGCTGTGTAGCTGGTGCCAATCCCACGGGTTTGTCTAGACTAGCAGCAATAAACACACGGATTGGCAAAAGCAGCTGGGTTGAGACCTACTATCATTAATAGGGTCTTTAGAGAACGGAGAACAATTTGTTTTAGCGTTCAGAAATTGTTGCAGTGGGTGAATATGGCACTTTCACCGAATGCGCAAACCCCCTTGTGTCAGCTAGAAATCAGGCAAGGGTGGTTTCTGTTAACGTTTATGAGAGATGTTTTAGAACTGTATTTTAGGTTTCTTTTTTTTTAACAGCAATCTCTTGTTCTTTGCTTGTATTACAATTTTTACTTCATAAAATCTTGATTTAAACCAATTGGGTCCTTCTCTTTTTGCTTTGGCAAACTACCCTAATTAGAAAGTAGTAATTCTAACCAGTTGGCTGTGGCACAGCTAAAGCAATGGGGCAGCCACCTGGTAGTTTCCCCCACACTTTCCTTGCCTCAGTCCCCGCCTCCATGGCTGTCATTTCCTCCGCATGCCTTGGGAGGGCTTTTAAAAAGTTATATGTCAATTCCTGTTTTTTTTTAAAGCCCTAAAATGCCAGTGGTATGGTGGGATAGCTTTCAGTAGCCTCTGATACTATCAGCCATAGTATTCTACTGAGCCAGCTCTCAGCATTGGGACTAAGGGTACCTTTTTACGGATGTCCTGGCTGGGTTTCAATCTCAGAAGGTGGTGTTGGGAGCTTCTTGCTGTGCCCCGTGGCCATTGGCCTGTGGAGTGCTGGAGGGTTCCTTCTTATCCCCCATGTTATTTAATAGCTATATGAAGCCACTGAGAGAGGTCATCAGGAGATAAGGGCTGTGGTGTCACCAACACGTGGATGATTCCCAACTCTGCCATTCTTTTTCGCCTAATTCCGAAGATTGTACTGAACTGGTGCCTGGAGTCAGTAATGGGCTTGATGAGGGTAAACTAGTTGAAACTTAATCCTGGCAAGACACAGGTTCTCTGGGATAACAGAAAGACAGACCAGGGACTCGAGATCTCTCCTGTCTTGATTGTACTTCCCTTGAAAAGTCAGGTTTACCACTTGCGAGTGCTACTAGAAAGCCTGGTGGCTGCAGTGGCTGAGAGTACTTTTGCCCAGCTTCAGCTGGTGTGTCAGCTGTGCCAGTTCCTGGTTCAGTCAGATCTAGCCATGGTGATCCATGCTTTAGTTACATCTAGACAGGACTATTGTAGTGTGCTCTACTTGGGGCTATCCTTGAAGAGTGTTTGGACTATTCTGGAACTGGTGAAAGTACTTGGCTCAAGTATAAGTCAGAATGGTAGAGAGTGATGCTGACAAAATGGAGGCATATTAGTCTTGGCAACATGTGGGGAAAACAGGACGTTTCTTGAGGGAAACGGATCCACACAGTAGTGCAACACTGGTCTGAATGGAAGCAGGCTAGCAGACACTCCCCTCCCCCCAATGCTAGATGAAATCAGAGTAACCTAACATTCAAGGGGAGGGGGAACTCTACAGAGGAACGCAGCGTAGGCGTTGATGGTAAATGGGTGCAGGGGTTCCTTGTATTCTCTGGAAGAGAAATAAAATGACTGTTGCTAGCAGCATTGAAAGCTGTTCTGTTACCTGCAAAATAATCTGAGCTGTAATGTTCTTGCTGGCAGAATGCAGTAAAAGTAGTGCATTCCTCTCTGCCACCCATCATAAGGAGAAAATGAGAGGAGTTTCTACCTATCATTCCTTAATTTAATAGAGTCTACAGCCCCTCTCTTGCTTGGCTCCTAAATAAATGCATAGCCTTTCGTTGTTCCCAATGGAAACAAGCCTGGGTAGCCCAGTGGCAGCTGATAAAGCAATTTCACACTTGCAGCATCAACTTATATTTGATCGGAACTCATTACCAACAGAGAAGAAGAAGAGGAGATTTCATACCCCACCCCTCACTATCCAAAGGAATCTCAGAGCGACTTACAAGCAGCAAAACGTGATGAAAATGGCATCACATCCTCATCTGATAGTCTGATCTTGTATGAAATGGTTCCTTTGCAGGGGCTGCGATTGAGAGAGTCTGGTAAAGCATTGGCTGAGGCTCCTCACCCTCCTCCTCCCAGGGGGAGGGAGGGAACCAACCAGAGCTCGCTTCCAGGCCAGGCTCCCTCAATCGTATACAGGAGACAAAGGGAATCCTTTCTTTCCTTCCACTGGCTGAGGCTCCTCCCTGAAAGAAGGCAGGTAGGGAGGGAACGAGGGAGAGCTTGCTTTGCTGGGCTACCTCAGTTGCACGGCAGAAATACCAGGCACCTTTAAAACCAACAAAGTTTTGTTCAAGGTATGAGATTTTGTGTGCCTTGCTACAGTGTGTGTGTATTCTGCTGGGCTCCTTATGCTGTGTGTGTGTGTGTGTGTTGTTGGGCTCCTTATGCCAGGGCTCTCCTGAGTGCAACTGGGTTCCCTCCCCCTTTTCACTGTGTTCATGCCCTCATGATGCAGTCTTTCTCAGTAAGAAAGAAATGTTAAGTATTTTAGAGGAGGAATAACAAGCCAGTGAGGTGGATTAGGCTGAGAGTGTTTGTCCAGACCAAGTTCACCAAGCACATTCCCTTTGTAGGAAGTTGTAGTTATTTCTCTGGGGAAGACTATAGTTTTGTATACAAACAGCCTCAGTCTGGGTCAGAATGCCATCTCATGTTCTTGACCAGCACATGAAGCAACTTATGTACAAAAGCCATTTCATCTTTTCCCCTAGAACACTGAGCATGAGATTTCTATAATGAATGTCAATAAATCAAAAGTAGGTTTCCTGCTTACAGATACACACCTGGAACAGCATATTCAAGTTTGCTACAGCACAGACATTTTGATGCATTTATCAGAGACTGTTAAATAGACAAAATATTGCTAGTGTTTTAAGCATGTTTTATTTAAAGTTTAAAAAACCTTAATTGTGTTTGTCTGTGTCCTTTATAAAGTTTATTTAAAGTTAAAAAAAACCTTAATTGTGTTTGTCTGTGTCCTTTATAAAGTTTATATCTCTGCTACCTGGCATTACATTTTATGACATTCATGGATCGGCCCAACAAGGCCTCATTTATGTCAGATCCGACCCACATAACAAATGAGTTCAACACCCCTGCTTTAAAATGTTAAATATTGAGAATATTACACAAGTAAAACTCTCCCCGCAAATACAATAACTGATTAGGCTGGGCCTACCTTTTAACATAACTAGGTAAGCAGGGCCCTGATTTCAGCCGTACTGAATGTCTGTGCATACTCGAGTTGCACTGGAATTTTAACGTGACCATTGGGTGGAAGGTTTTGCGGTCTATCAAAAGCTCCAGTAGGCTGTAATTATGAGACACTATGGAATGTATGCCCCAGTAAATAAAGCTTTCTCTTCTGTAAACCTATTCGACCTTGTTCAGGCTGCTGCTCTGCTCCAGCTGTAGGACGTTTTTGGTCCGTTGCCTCTTCTCATTCACCACCCTCCCCCTATCCTCCGAAGTCTCTTTTGGGAAACCTCTGCATTTTCAAGTAGTCACCGTTTCCTTACATTCGAAGGTTTACTTTCTGCCCATCAAAAAATGATTGCCACTAAAACTCACCCATTGCCTTCCCCCTGAAAAATGATAAGTTTGTATCATTGCAAACTAGTGATGATAATGGCTTGAAACCGTGCTGAGGGTTGAAGAAACAGATCCCAGTGCAGAGTAATTTTATAAAGATTAAGGTTAAACTTCTGCAAAGGGTAAGGAAAAACTGGGCTACACCCAGCAATGTGCCAGCAGAAAAAGGGGGAACTGCCAGGTGATCATAGGTGACCTGGTTTATTAGCATACAAAGCCCCTGCAAAGGAACCATTTAATACAAGATCAGACTATCGAATGAGGATGTGATGCCATTTTCATCATGTTTTGCTGCTTGAAAGGATCCACTGGAACAAAATCAGCAGAAAAATGTTAGAAGAAGAGTTTTTGTTATTCAGTAATGCAAAAAGCACGGGGGAGTTTTTGGTAATCTTCACCAAGATTTTTTTTCATGTTCCAGTAGAGGGCAGCAAAAGGCCAATACTCTGTTCTAAATTCTAAATGCTCTTTTTGTTAATTCTGTTCATTTTAAAACTGGAAATATTAAAAACTTATGTTTGTGAAGATGACACGC